CTTTTTTTTACTAATAAACATAAGCAGAATGTTTGCCAAAAGTCGCGGGTGAAATAATGAGTTAGCTGAACTTGTTACTTTGCTTACCATCACTCAACGCGTGATTGTGTACCTTATCGCCTAATGCGTTTCGATCATCAATGTTTGTGAGTTTCAGTTCGGCGATCTTTCTTATATTCATTCTTTCTGAATATTTATCATATATATATAGTGTAGGTATCATCCTCAGAATATCACTGAAATACAAGTCACTGAATTTTTGGTGGAAAAGTTATTGACCTAACTCGCCATCTTTCGATGATAAGTCTACATTTTTTGGTCAAAAATCATATCACATAATAGTCATACACTATTTCGATACTACTCGAAGTTTTCAACGTAACTCAAAGACGGTTTCTCTTGATAACATGTAGTACAGATGTTTTCTAACCACTTGAAGAAACTCCATATAGGAATCAGAAGTCATTCGCATAGAATAAAAAAAACCTAATGTTAATAGAACTTTTTGCACGTTCTAAATAATTGATAATACAAGAAAATCATGATCTTTTACAGAATTCAATTACACATCCACCTGATATATTATCAATGTCATCACTTAGTGGTTCATTAGCTACAGAAAAAGATCGATATGAAACTATTGGACATATAACGACACCATCAAATTCAATATCATTATCAACAACATCAAATCGTTCAATTTCTATTGATGAAAAAAATAATTTAAATAATGATCAAAAAAAGTTTTCAATTCAAAATAGTTCATCTAAAAAAACATTTACTTTAAACAGAACTAGACAAAGACAATCACTAAGTAAGATTATTTCTTTTGAGATAAAATTTCATTGTTTATTTATTTTCATAGGTAAATCAAGTAAACAAACCTCTTCTTCTCGTCAATTAATTGATGCATATCGTTTTCGTGATACATTACGAATGAACAATACTCATTTTTCTTCTCCATGTCCAAAAATTCGATGAAACATGTACTGAATAAATCTATCTACTTTCTCGTTCAGTCTGTTGTATCTATCATAGTTTACATGTAGATTAGAATAAAACATACATATCCTATATTTGTCGTTAGAATTACTAAACTCATTAAATTTAATCAAATATCTATTGCTAATATTGAAATATGATTGGTTTATTCTCTTGTCTAACAAAGTAACACTTAAGGATTACGATAGATAGGAATTTAACCAACAAGAATATTTATTTTCCAAATGCATATTCAAAAGCAATAAATGAAACCAAATTGAATAATTTAATCATGTTTGTCATTCAAGTCATACTATGTGGGTACTTTGAACTATATTGACTAGATGATCCTTTTAATCACTTAACATGATCTTTTGAACCATAGCTATCCGATGGTCATTTTAATTATGTTATAGACAGACAGAAACAGTGGAATGATCACCAAAGCATATCTAAAAAGACACGGTTCGATTAAATGTTATCAACGCACAAAATAAAAAGGAATCTCTATGAAATTCGTGCTAACTTCAATTAGTCAACAAACGTATGCATATATTTCGGGATGATCTGCTCATAGAAATGGTGTCGGTGTGTTAATGTGAGTAAGCGTATCATACTCACATCCTCTATTTACAAAGATAATTCGAAACATACCCTGGAAAAATTTTCTGATGAAAAAAATAGCAATCCATTGCAATATGCTTCCAATGCCTATCCCTTGGCACGATCCTGTGAGGGGACTTTGTAGCTCTACTAGAGAGATTCAATATGGGATGTGGGGTGTGTTTAGGTGGCTGCTAGTTTTCCCATAACTCACACCCTTACCGTGAAAAGTGCTCACACTAGGAAATAATATTACAAATAAAGTTTCTCAACGAAAAAAAACAGCAAAAGTGCTAAAAATTTGAGTTTGAAATTGACAACAAAACAAAATAGTTGATAAACAAGCTTTACAAAAAGAAAAAAAAATTTTTTTTCCGGTCAATTTAATTTTAAATATAATCGTTAATGAATTAATAACTGAGTAATACATATTTATTATTATTTTTTTTCAAAAATAAATAAATTTAACAATCAAATAAACTATTTTTAAGAAAAAATTCTTTTAATATATGTTTTGTTTTTTAAATTGAAATATAAATGAAATTAATTCTTATTGATTGATTTTATTTTATGATTAAAAAAAATTCTTATTTTATTCAAATAATAAATTAATAAATCTAAGTTTTATTTGATTTTAATCATAGATTGATAGAATAATTAAACTATAAGATAATGCACAAACAAAAAAGGATAATTGAATATTTAATTTACGTTATTTAATCAAATGCAAGTTACAATTGATTTACTATTTCGACTATTCTGTTAGAATGTTGTTATTAGGGACAGTCCCTCGAATAATAACAGAAAAAAGTCTTTTTGGTAGACCGTTGATATCTCCTTCACAACACTTAATAAGAAAGAAGGTTGATATACCATTTGAAAGAGAAGGATCCAACGATTATGTATATATACAAATATTTTCAATCGGATGTGAAATAGCTGTGTACTCAGTGAAACAAGATAAGACAACATTTTGCTGCTGTTATTAGGGACATTTACTCTACCTAAAATGAGTACTGTCAAAAAATAAAATCAGTACAAAATATTGACGCACCGTCACGAACAGTGTGTCTAATGCGGTCTAATGTCTCGCGGACAAATATATCTGCAGCTAAACTTTTGAATTCACCGTCCAAAGGACTCTATAACATCGCTATCTTCCGTAGAAGAAAAAATCGTGGATGCTGTGATCTGATTCGTGGATATTGTAATTAGCAGTGAGCTCCAAAAAATTGAAGTTCCGTGTGACTTTTATATCAGTTAACGAAAAAAAAACACACAGGACAACAAATGAAAAAAGTCTTTATATCAATTGATTTATTTTACTTTACAAGAATTTTTCTGGTGAAAAACACGACATCTTCTATCATCATCATCATCACTAGATGTTGTATTTAATGCGAATGTAATTGGTTCTACGTCAATTGCTGCTTGATTTTCACTCACATAACACGATTTTAACCGGAAAAATAATGAAGATTTGTCATTGTTCGGTCCCCAACGTTGTAATCCACATATTTTGGGACGTAGGATATCTTAGGTCAGGATTCGCGTATTTCGTGAATGGATTCGCCATAAATTAGTCTCCAACTCTGAAATGTTAGTCTCCAAGTACAATTCAACATGCTCTATCAGATCCACACCACCTTTGTGAAATTGAAGCAAACCCTCGCCCACTAGAACCGAAAAACCATCGAAAACCGAGGCAAAAACTAGCAAAATCTTGAGAAATCCGTCGCGATTCGCCCAGAATTAGTCTCCAAGTACGAGACACACATCAACAGATAGATCTCGATGAGCTCTATCCGATGGACAGCTTTTGGTCCATTTTGAAACATTTAGTCATGCAAAAAATTGCTAATTTCCGCCTAATTTCTCAATTTTTCATTTTCTACGCGGTGCGATTCGCCCAGATTTAGTCTCCAAGTTCGCGACACACATCAATAGATAGATCTTGGTGAGCGCTATCCGATGGACAACATTTGGGCCATTTTTAAAAATTCAGTAATGCCAATAACTGCTAATTAACGCCTAATTAGTAGAATTTCCACTTCCGGCCCGCCACGATTCGCCCAGGCTTAGTCTCCAAGTTCGGACACACAACAACAGATAGATCTCGATGAGCTCTACCCGATGCATATCTTTGGGGCCATTTCAAAATATTCAGCCATGCCAAAAGTTGCTAATCAACGCGAAATTGGTGCAATTTTCACTTTCCGGCCCATTCTGATTGGTTTTAAATTAGTCTCCAAGTACAAGACACACATCAACAGATAGATCTCGATGAGCTCTATCCGATGGACACGCTTTGGTCCATTTTGAAACATTTAGTCATGCGAAAAATTGTTCATTACCGCCTAATTTCTCGATTTTTCACTTTCTACCCGTCACGATTCGCCCAGACTTAGTCCCCAAGTGCAAAACACACACCAACAGATAGGTCTCGATGAGTTCTATCTGTTGGTCACCTTTTGTGCCTTCTCAAAGTATTTAACGATGCGAAAAATTGATAATTAACAATTTTTCGCATGATTGATTAGTTGGAAATGCTTCAAGAGGTGTCCATCGGATAGAGCTCATCGAGATCTATCTGTTGATGTGTGTCTTGTACTTGGAGACTAATTTAACCCCAGTCAGAATGGGCCGCAGAGTGAAAATTGCACCAATTTCACGTTGATTAGCGACTTTTGGCATGGCTGAAAATTTTGAAATGGCCCCAAAGATGTCCATCGGGTAGAGCTCATCGAGATCTATCTGCTGATGTGTGTCTCAAGCTTGGAGACTAAATCTGGACGAATCGCGACGGGTAGAAAG